GGCAAGAAACCTTGAGCCAAGCCATGTGGCTGGTGACAGAGCCAGTTGGCACCTAAGATTGGCTGGTTCCAATGGCACATCAGCCGTGGGGCTTGGAGACAACATTTCTACCTGCCACAGAGCGAGAGGGTTGAAGCTATTGTTGGTCATGTCACTGGTGTTGATGAGAATGCCCTGTGGTATCATGGTCTGAGATATTGTCGTAGTGGGTGCTACTTCTGTGGCATTGAACCTTGCCGGATTCACCCACTGTTAGAACCTGTCATCTTGGAGAATGGTGTAAGCCACGTGCCACAGCTTTCCTTTCTCTCAGAAGAAACTTTCTGAAGTTGATCCCAAGGTCAGAAGGTCCTCTTTCTCTCCTTAGAGGAGAGTTATAAGTGAAACTTCTAACCAATGTCTAAAAATCCTGTTTTTTGTTTTGTGGCTCGTGGGCTCCAGAGCACAGGCTCACTAGTTGTGGCTCACAGGCTTAGTTGCTCCGCGACATGTGGGACCTTCCCGGACCAGGGCTCGAACCCGTGTCCCCGGCATTGGCAGGCGGATTGTCAGCCACTGCGCCACCAGGGGAGTCCCCGCCTGTTTTTTTTATAGAATCATTTGCGGTGTCGCGGTGTCTACAGAGCACTGGGCAGCTTCTCTGGTTCTTCATATTTGAAGGGTACAGCTTATCCAGAGGCTGTGTGTCTCTGGCCACATTTTTTCATTCTTCCTCCGAATTAATAATAGGTCAGAGGGTAGAAGGACACACTCAGGATCAACCTGAGACCACATGGCTTTCCTCCCCATGTCATCCCACGAGGGTTTGCAATGGTCACTCATTCATGAGCCAAGAGCAGCCCTGCATGAAGCAAGGGGGGTACGGGGGATGAAGAGTGGAGAGCCCCGTGTCTAGACTCAGCTCGTGTGAGGCCATAGCCGCTGCCACTCTGGACGAAACCCTGAGCCTCTCAAGTGACGCAAATGAAAGTCTGTGGAGCACAGGCCTTTGCAGGGGACGGCCAGGCAGGGCGGGGGACACCGGGCTTTGACGACAAAGGGACAGAGGCGGGGGCAGATGGGCAGAGAAGTGCTGAGTGCACTGATTGGTTCGACTTCTCTTGTCCCCCTGGGTTTTGGTTCCTCTCTCTCAGTGACAGGTTTGGGGTTGGTCTCCATTACAGGAGGGGACCCATAATCTGGAGCTCAGTTTTAATTATTCTTTGTTGTGATTTCCAGATTTTGTTTTTTAAAAAATGTATGCTGTAATGATGAAACCCAAAGCCTTGGTCACTGGTTGTGGGAGTTCCAGGGGCGCATTAGGGGAAAATGGAGAGAGAGACGCTGTTGGCTAAGTCAGTGTCTGGGTTTTTGCTGAGACCGTGGTCTGGGACCCTGGCACTCCAGCTGAGGCCCCGCTGTCTCCCTTTTCCCTCCTTTCACTTAGACCCTTGGCTGCTTTTGATTTGAAAAGACGAGAACATTTCATGTAAATGTCCAAAAATTACTGTCTGTATTAGCTTCAGGGTACGAATAGGGCCCCTGGGCTCACAGAGGAGAGGTCCGTGCACATTTACAAACTGCTCCTCGCCCCTCACATTTCTGTAATGGACGCGAATTCCTTTTATTTATTTACTTACTTATTTATTTATTTATTTACTATTTTTGGCTGTGTTGGGTCTTCGTTGCTGTGCGTGGGCTTTCTCTAGTTGCGGTGAGCGGGGGCTCCTCTTCCTTGTGGTGCACGGGCCTCTCACCGTGGTGGGCTCTCTCGTTGCGGAGCTTGGGCTCTAGGCGTGAGGGCTTCAGTAGTTGTGGCACGTGGGCTACAGTAGTTGTGGCTCGCGGGCTCTAGAGCGCAGGCTCAGTAGTTGTGGCACACGGGCTTCAGTAGTTGTGGCACGTGGGCTTCAGTAGTTGTGGCTCACGGGCTCTAGAGCGCAGGCTCAGTAGTTGTGGCACACGGGCTTCAGTAGTTGTGGCACATGGGCTTCAGTAGTTGTGGCTTACGGGCTCTAGAGCGCAGGCTCAGTAGTTGTGGCACACGGGCTTCAGTAGTTGTGGCTTACGGGCTCTAGAGCGCAGGCTCAGTAGTTGTGGCACGTGGGCTTCAGTAGTTGTGGTACGTGGGCTTCAGTAGTTGTGGCGCACGGGCTTAGTTGCTCCGTGGCATGTGGGACCTTCCTGGACCAGGGCTCGAATCCGTGGCCCCTGCATTGGCAGGCGGATTCTTAACCGCTGCGCCACCAGGGAGGCCCGGCCATGAATTTTTTGCCCATGGATTTACTGACTTTGTGACGGCAGGTAGTATGATCTCTATCAGATGAAGAACCTGAGCCGCAGAGACAGCAGCTGGCCCAGCCTGGCGGGTCTCCCTGCCCTTCCCTCCCGGCCTGCACGTTCACCACTGTGTGGAGCAGCTTTCACTAGAGCATCCCAGCTCAGAGCCACCCTTCCTCCTTCCTTCCACCCAGAACAGAAGTTGTTCTGGCCTGATGGAGGACTTTGCACTGTCTGTGGCCTCTCGGAAGGGAGTCTGTTTTAAAGAAGTCCAGTTTGGAAAGGGCACTAATAGTGTCAGCCAGTCGGCCCGGGTGTAAGAGCAGCTGCCCAGATGGAAAGGCCTTGGCCCTCTTAGAGGCTGTGCATAAATGTCAGACAGCGGGTACTAAACAGGGTGAGAGTGGAGGCACGGGTGATGGGATAGAAGTACCCCATCTTGTGCTGGACCAGAGGAAAGGTAACAATCCCTATTGGATTTTCAATGCATATGCTGCTCTCACCCTAATTGCAGTGGCCAACTTCGGGGATCTCCTTTGAGAGCCCATTACAGCCTCGGTCACCATGTGCCCGGCCCACCTGTGCTTAGAAGTCCTAGGCCGTTTTCAGTTTTTAGGCTAGTTTCCCAGCAAGTTCTAGCTGGTCCTGTGATCCTTCCTCTCTTTGTCAGGAAGCTTTTCTCATCTCTCTCTGTCTCTCTGTCTCTTTCTGTCACCTTTTCTTCCCCTGGACCAGCTATTTTAGATTTCAGTTGGTTTCTTTAAATGATACTGCTTGCCCTCTGGATACTGTCAGAGCCCGGGACATGGGAAATTCCGTGCTAAGTGGCCTGAACACCAAAAGCTGCTGGGTATTTCTAATTTTGGCATTGAGACTTTACAAGTCTACATTCTTGGCATTGCCAACCAGTTAGAATAGAACAATAAACCCCAATTTTTGTCATGTGAGGCTGTAATTAAAATGGCAGCTGGAACCAGGCATATTTTCACTGAGTCCTGAGGGGGTGGCCGACTCAGTGGTGGGTGCCCAGGGAGACACGGGGAGCGTAGGGTGTGGACCCCTCTTACATCAGCTTAGTCAGAGAGTCAAATACCTGTCTGGGAAACAAAATGAGAACAAGTAGTTGCCTGGCAGTGCTCTTGACAGTAAGCGACGAAGCCTTCAGAAGTGGGCGCAGGGTGGGCGTGTTTCTCGGGAAGCTTCAGAGAGAACTCGTGAACCCTTGGGCTGAGAGACAAGGCGTGTTCAGAATGGGGGGCTCTCTAAGCCCAGAGGTGAGCAGGGACCTGGCGCCAGCTTGGGACTGAGAGAGGACCGGCCTGTCCAGCAGCAGGCAGGCCTGCTCCATCCCAGCAGAGTTTGGCGACTGCTGACCATGGAACAAAGCCATCCTGGGACCGGGTCCCTGAGCCGTTCCAGGGGAGCCGCGGCTCCAGGCAACTGCGGTGTGGCAATTCCTCTCAGGACATCAAGTCCCAGGGGGCCGGGGCTTGACAGCCAGCCTGTCGTCAGCTCTTAGTATTCTTGCCGTCACCCGCTCCCCTGCGCTGTCCCCCGACGTGGCCGCCCCATTGTGGAAGGCTGTCACAAGATGCGACGGAGGCAGCCAGGCCTGGGAGAGCTGTCACGGCGGTTTCCAAGGGTCACTGCTCTTCATTCAGTAGCCGATCTGAGAGCTTTGACGTGCATAAATTTCCACTTTAAATCTGGGGCTCCAGGGAAGAAGAGATTTTTTTTTTTTTTTCGGTACGTGAGCCTCTCGCTGTTGTGGCCTTTCCCGTTGCAGAGCACAGGCTCCGGACGCGCAGGCTCAGTGGCCGTGGCTCACGGGCCCAGCCGCTCCACGGCATGTGGGATCTTCCCGGATCGGGGTACAAACCCGTGTCCCCTGCATCGGCAGGTGGACTCTCAACCACTGCGCCACCAGGGAAGCCCGAAGAGATTTTTTTCTGAGTGGCCCTGAAGCCCCTAGAAGGGATGACTGACAGTTTATGGAAATCAAGATTACAGCTTTACCTAAAAAAGCACTCTGTAACAGTTGAGTTCTGAGAACGCAGTGGTGGTCTCTAACAGTTGAGTTCTGAGAACGCGGTGGTCGTCTCACCAGTGAGTCCCCTGTCCCTGGAGGTGCTGAGCTGAGACCAGGTGACCTCTTACTAGAACTGTGACAAAAAGGAAGTGGACATAGGTGCGCACCTGGAGAGGGCGTGCCATCCTCTCGCGGCGCCTAGGTTGGTGACCCATCCGCTTCCGCTTTCCCCGCGTCCGTCACCACCCCTGCCCACGACTTCCAGCCCTGTGGCTGCCCCTCCCCCACCCCATCTTCCCTGTGAACCTTCTCAGCTGCTGCTTCAGTCAGCATTTCAAAGCACTGTATTTCCTTCTTCTGCCCAACAAAGCACTGCTACAGTTTTCTCTAAGCCTTAGGCTATAAAAAGGCCATAAAATTGTTTCTCCTATTGATACACTTGGTCATATTATCGAGCCCCGCTGTGGAAGGGCTCTGTGCTTTACACATTGGCCTCACAGCAGCCCTGAGAGGCCAGTGTCACTTTTTTTATTCCTGATTCACACACAAGGAGATGGAGGCTCAGAGTGGGTGAGCCACCTGCCCAAGGTGTAGTGAGGGAGGGAGCCTGGCTTCAAGGTCGGAGCCTCGGCCCCCCCTCCTACAGCCTCAGCCTGGAGGAGCAGCTGGCAAAGCTCTGCGTGCCCTTCTCACTCCGCCTCTTTCTCTGCAGCTTCATAGCCGTGGAGAACATCGACAGCTACTGTGTGCTCATCTCCTCCAAGGCCGTCTACTTCCTGAAAAGCGGAGACTACCTAGACCGGGAGGCCATTTTCCTGGAAGTCAAGTACGACGATCTCTACCACTGCCTCGTCTCCAAAGACCACGGGAAGGTGTATGTGCAGGTGACCAAGAAGGCCGTGAACACGAGCAGTGGGGTGTCCATCCCCGGCCCTTCCCACCAGAAGCCGATGGTGAGTGCACCCCTGCCCTATCTCCTCAGCCGGCCACCGCCCTGCTGATGTGTTTGCCACGTGTGAGGCTTGGGCTGGGCTGTTGTGAGTCCCCAGGGGTCCTGCTTCTTAGTCCCACAGGCAGAAGGCGCTCAGTGTGTGTGGGGTGGGACGATGCCGCTCTCCCAGCTCCACCGGAGGGCGGGTTGCTCAACGCTTGTGCCGCAGTTTCCCACCCATACAGTATGGGCAGGATTACCGCCTCTAATCAGCCGTGAGGACCAGCTGACATGATGCACGGGGGTGTTTTATTCCTAAAACGGGACTCTTCGGCGCATTGAATCTAAGAAGGCGTTAGCGGACACATTGGCTTCTTCATTGCTTCACCTCTAGAATAATTGGAAATTAACTTTTTTTCCTGCACAAGGAAGCAATATCTAGCATAGGCCCCCATCCACTGTAAAAGCTCAATGAATCTCTGTAAATAAACTTTACACTTGACCTCCAAAAGGTACAAGATATTGTTATGGCAGGACTTTTCAACAACACCGCTGCTGTTAAAAACCAGCATTCGTTAAGGGTTTACTGTGTGTCAGGCTGGACTCTAGGTACTTCTAGATTATTTAATGTTGTACTGCTGTTGTCCCCACTTGGTGGTCAGGAGGCTTGGTGAGGACAGGTGACTTGCTCGAGGTTATCCGGCCAACACCGGAGGGAGCTGGGGTTCAAACCCACGTGCCCGTGCAGCTCCAGGGCTGGCAGCCTGGACCACTCTGCTGCCTCCGCTTGGAGGGGCTGTTGTTGGCTCGGCAGAAGCGCGTGTGAGGGACCCCACCGCCAGCCGTATTCTAACGTGGGATTTTTTCATGAAACCAGGTGTTAGCCCTGCTCATTTTTCACCTGGAATGCTAGGATTTTCAAGCCTGCATTCGAGAATGACGTGCCATTCAAAATGGCCCTGCTTATCTCAGTGTTTCCACAGATGAGAAACAGCAACCAGCCTTTTGGGGCCTCTCTCCCTTGACCTTCTCCCTGCCCAGGAATGCGCTTGGGTTTGGTTTGGCTTGTGCAGGCTCCCCTGGGGTCATTGGCTTAGGTTAGGGCCGGTAGATTAATTGAGTTAACACCCAAAAGCCTGAGTATTTCCACAAGTTCCTTTCGGAGGTGGGGAGCTTTGCCCAGCTGCACTTTCGCCCTTTCAAGGCAAGTGAGCTGTCTTGATAAGAAAGGCCTCGAGGGCATTTGTGTGCTTTGACCATCACCAGACTTTAGATCTGAATCCCCAGTCTTTGTTAGTCTCACCTCAGCTGATCCTCACACCTCGGAGCTGAAACTGGTTCTCAGTTACAGGCAGTCCCAAATGTCAGGTGATTATGGGTCGACTGCACGGTCACCTGGGGAATAAGTTAAAGATACAGAGATCCACCCCAGACCTCGAATCGGCATAACTAGGAGTAGGGCCCTTGGGAATCTGTTTCTTTAAACTACGACCCATGCTGTTCTGATCCGCAGTCAGGCTGGGAGCTGCTGCCTGGGTGGATTTCAATGGCCCCTGTCCTGTGATTTTGTTTGGCTTCCCACCTTGGGGGCAGGTTACTCATTCTGTCCTTTTCTTCAGGTTCACGTGAAATCAGAGGTCCTTGCTATCAAGTTATCACAAGAAATAAACTATGCAAAGAGCCTTTACTATGAACAGCAACTTATGTTAAGACTCAATGAAAACCAAGAGCAGCTGGAGCTGGACTCCTGAGAAACCCCAGCTGCTGGAGGGACACTCCCAGACGTAGACCCCAAACCAATCGGGAGGAGAGAGGCCCGTGGGCTTGGCTTAAATTAGAGGAAACCAGAATAAGGTTTGGGGGGATGCTGTCAAGAGGGAGAGTAAATACTGGTGAGGGAGGTTACAAATGGAACCATATTAATTTGTGGGGCAGGGGGTTACTTTAGGTTATGGGGAGGTAATTTTTAAGAGGCATTGGTTGAATAACGTTTAAAACAAAGAAAGTGTAACTGAGATCAATCTAATTTTTAGATTGCCCTGTATTTTGTTAACATGTATATATGTACAACTGTGTGTTTGTAAATACGTAGGAGCATTTCTGAACAGGGCCTGTGATGTGTGTAAAGGCTTGTTAACTGTAAAGTAATATAAAGTTATATTGGATCTTCTATTGCACTAATTCTACACGTCTCATTCAGGGTACTGTCCGTGAAGAGGGATTCTTGGAAGCTGCAGAATGTTATGCCTTAGTTTGGGAAACTAGAATATTCACAGTTAGGTGGGCTGAGGTGAGGGGGCAGGTGCGTCAAGAGCGATGCCTTTGAAACCTGTGCTCATCCCGGCTGGAGCCGCGAACCGAAGTGTCTAGACCCAGAGCCAGCCCTTGATGAGGCCTAGGGGAGTGACTCGGACACATCTTTTATTTATTTCTCCCTCAGTTTAAAGATAGTTCTTAAGAGTGTCACAAATTATTTTTTATCTGCCTGTCTCACTGGCTCTCTCCTGACTAGTCTTGCCAGACTTTGAGGTAAAACTGTGAGGTGTGTTCTGTTACCACGCACACACACGCCAGCATTATAAGGTTTTCTGGGGTTATTATCAGAGAGGCCAGTTTGAAACATTGGTAGGCGCTGATAACTTAGAAGGGAAAAAAATCCCGTAGGACTGTTTAACAGATCAGAAATCCACAAATTTATCAAAAACCCACAGCGAGAGTGTTCCCTCTCCTGAGCAGCTGCAGCAGGAGGTCCTGGGACTCTGTTCTCCTTAATAAAGCTCCAGGCAGCCGCCCAGCCCCACAGCCCTAGGGACGGGGCGACAGCAGCCCTGGGGTGAGAAGGGAGGGAGAAGGAGAGAGTCTTAGAAAAGGGAATGAAATCTGAGTGCTAAAAAGCTGTTCTTGTAAGTTTGGGGCCAAGATTTGGCCAAAATATCTCTTGCCCTTGGTTTTAAATTCGACCCGGTGGCAAGGCCTAGACCGAGTGTCTTCTCCTTCCTGGGTCTTGTTTCTGTGGTTTCTCTTTTCTGTAAGGAATAACCAAGGTAGGGAGAGGGGAGGCCTAGAATGAGTGACTAGCCTTGTGATTTTTTAATTTTTATTTTAATAAATCTAGTCAGTCTCTACAACCATGTCCCACGTAGCTGAGATCTAAAAGGACCCATCGGATCAGTGGATGCGTGGAAGGTATTGGTGTTTATGACTCATGACCCAGATCCTTCCAAAACACAGATGAAGCTAATCTGTCTTTCTCTCCCCACTCGGGGTGTGTGTGTGTGTGTGTGTGTGTGTGTGTGTGTGCGTGCGTGCGTGCGTGCGTGCGTGCGTGTGTGTGTGTGCGTGTGTGTTTTCAAAGAGCTTTAACCCAAGTGCTTAGTGCTCTGGCAAAATAGTGTTTTCAGGGCTCGTCTTGAACTCCAGGATTTGTATATAGTCTTCCCTGCACTCTGGGTTCATGGACTGCAGAATTGAAGCCCAGCTTTTGAAGGGTCGGGGTGGGTTTTTGGTCCGTCGGTTGGTTGGTCCTGCTGGGCCACAGCCATGTGCCAGGTGCGGCTCCCTGCAGGCTTCTTGTCTTCCTCACCAGCCTCCCACCCTGCACCCCACAAGTTTGGCTTGTGGTTTTTGTCATCAGTAACGCACTGCCTGAGATCATGACCTCTTAACGATGAAACTCTCAGAGGGTTGATGGTTTGTGTCAGTGAGCCTTCTGTCACTTTCTGGAATGAAGTCACTTGGGAGTTCTGTTGGATTGAGGAGCTTGGTATGACTAAGGAAGCCTGACTTTGGGCCCAGCGGCAACCTGTGTTCTCTGCAGCTCTGCCCATGGGAAGTTGGTTGAGGGCTGCGCTGTGGAATGGTGCTTCCAGGAGACTCCAGAGGGGTGTTGAGATGCCCTCCTCCCGGCTCCTTTCTAAATCTCATCAGCCCTCGAAATACAATAGTTGCTCATCTCCCTACTGCACAGCTCCCCCCTGATGTTTGCGCCTTGGAAGAGGCAGATGTTAAAATGGGATCCAAAGACCAAATGGGGCGGGGTTGGGGGGTGGGTGCCAGCTAAGAGCTTCTCAGGCTCCTCCGCCCTCGCAGCCCTCGTGCCAGGCCTGGTGATGGTAAGGTTTCAGGGGCTTTGGACATAGTTTCCTGGTTTGCCAGGAAAAAAATCCAAAGCTTTGGAGGAAGCAGGCCCTGGCTCTGGCTTCTAAATTGGTATTTAGCCAGCGATGTCTGAGACTTCGTCAGGATAATTTCTGCCGATTTTCTTGGTGCCTCAAGTACCCGGTTCCTCTCCGAGGAAAGTAAAATAAATTGAATTAGGAGAAATTGGGCAAGCAGAAAGCAAAGCCCCCTCGATGCCCTGACCCAGCACAGCTGGCCGCATCACCGCCTGGCCACAGCTGCTTTCCTCACCCACCAGAAAGGCTGGCTGTTCTGTGTTTCCCACACCTGGGCCTGCTCACCACTGACTGGGAAACAGAAACATGACCTCTTAGCGGCCCGAGTACCTCACCGTGGTGGAGACGCACCTCGGGGTTTGGAAGGCTCCTGGGCCACTTTGTTTTTAAGCATCATCTGTGCCTCAAAATACCATAGTAGCTGCTCGATAATATTCTGAAAATAAAGTATCTGGGTCTCCACCGTGTGAACACTCTTACACTCACCAATCTGTTGAGACTCTTGAATCTGTTTCTCATATCAGAGTCGTTATTTTTCTTCCTGTGGAATAAAATGCTCTGTTGACTTCCAAACATGTTGTTTCCTTCTGGTTTCTTGCTGTCCCATAGATTGTAGAACCATCGCCAATGACAAATGCCAAACGTATTACAACACGTGCAGTCACACGCAGCCTTTCCCTCACTCCGGGCAAGTGCGTTCCCAGGCCAGCCCTGCACCTTGGGCCTTGCTTAACTTCCCAGGGTTGGCAGCTCTTCCCGTCAGCCAGGCCCGGGCTTCGTGTTGGCTGTGCTCACCTCACCAGTCTGAGGTTACTGGTCCAGGCCTGGCAGGATGGAAGTTGTCGTTTCTGAGGAGGAGACTTCAGCAGGAGCAGGATTGGTTACGTTCAAGGTGCCTACTTGATATTACTGGACAGGTCAAGCAGGCAGCCGGGCGCTGGAGTTCCAGGGATGAGTTCCAGGCCAAAGGCATAAGATTGGGAGTCATCATGCAAGTGACAAGTGGAGCCTGGATGAGATATGAAATCCTCAAAGGAGTGGGGCAGTGTGGGGAGGGCAGCAAAGAAAAAAGGTCCAAGATCTGAGTCCTGGGGGTCCCTGAAGTTTAAGAGTTTAGGCAGGTGGAGGGGAGCAGCAAAGGAGACAGAGCAGCGCCTTCCAGAGTCGGGTGTGAAACCAGGAGGGCGTGGGGTCCAGAAAGGTCCACAGAGGAGGGAGATGAACTATCAAAGGCTGCTGATTAAGCAGGATGAGGACCAACAGTTAACACTGGATTTACAACATTGAGGTCACTGGAGACGTTCCTAAGAGTGGTTTCAGTGGCGTGGGGAGGGTGAAGCCTGGATACATAGATTCAAGAAAAAAATGAAGAGAGATTTTGGAGAAAATGAATATTGACAACTCCTCTGGAGTAATCCGGCCATAAGTGGAGAGAGATGGCTGGTGCTTCTAGAGACGAGGGGCGATAATAACGGGGAGAAGGGAGCCTGGCTGGCCGGGGACGTGGGCAGATGAGGTCGAAACTACTGGAGATTCTCATTTGCTTTCTTCTGTTTTCCCAGGGAGATCAGCAGAGAGTAAGGACGGGGCAGGAGGGGATGGAAATTTGGAGAGAAGGGAGAGGTAGAAAACGGTCATTTAGGATAAAGGGAAAGTGAACAGACCAGGGAGGTACGGGATGTTTGCCAGGCAACAAACGGGCCCATTTGAGGTTGGTGATCAGGAATTTAAAGTGAGACCAGGCAGCCTGGTGGTGTTTTTCTCCAGCCACATTCAGCTGCAGGGTTCAGCGTGGAACAGGCAAAGAGCTGGATTTCATCAAGAAACGCTCCCCCTCATTCAAATACCCCGTCCACCGTCGGGGAGGGGAGGGGAGGCTCACTGCCCCAGACGAGAGCACAACTAGAATATTGCAGGGGCTCCTGGAGCAGGGGGCCGGCATCTGAAGACAAGCTGTCCCAGGACGCCAGGCACAGAAAGGGCGCATGACACTCGGACACCAGGTCACTGTGGAGACCAGGTCCTGAGGAGTAAGTGCTGGTCCAAGCTGCGTCTCTCTGGCTGGGAGGTGCCTGAAGCAATTGTGGACACCAAAGGAAGAAGGGAACTTTGCTTTTTATTCCTGTTCGATTATCCAACAGGAATAATCCTGTTGAAACTTCTAAACGTCAGATTTAAAATTTTTGCATACAAATGGGAAACAAAAATATAATTTCATATCTATGTTACAGCATATGAGGGCAGCCGTTGCTTCCGCCCCATATCCCTCCCAACTCCACCTCAAAACCAGTGAACTCGTGGATGGCCTGTGTTCTCACTATGTTCACGTGATTATATACAGACATAGAACACAGACATAGTCGTATGTCGTTCCCAGCGTTCGTTTTCATAACGTTGGAATCGTATACTTTTCTGCACCTTCTCAGTGTTACCTTCAGGTTGGTGTAACTCTGTCCCCTTAAATGCAGCACAGCTGATGGTGTGACTGTCCTGTGTGGACTCAGCGATTCCTGTATTGAAGGGCATTCACCTGATTCTCACGCCACCCCCCCGCCCCCTAACACCAGCGCTACAGTAGACACCCTCCTACTTACGTACGTATGCACTAGTTTTATTTCTGTGCAGCAGATTCCCAGCAGCCGATTGTCTCCGAGGATACACGCAAGATCACTTTCCAGGAATGCTGGTGGGGATGTGGAGGGCTGCGGCCCACCTGAGTGCCCTGTCTCTGTGCCCCCGCCAGAAGTGTCAACCAGTCTAATAGGGACAAGTCGCATTTCATTCCTGCTTTAGTGAATTTAGACTCAGCAGTGAGTCTGACCATCTTTTCATTTTGTTTGTAGGAATTTAGGTTAGGAATGGCTGTTGAATTACAGCAAAACCCTTCCAGCATCTATTGTTATGACCATATTGTTTCTTCTCCTTTAATTTTTTAAAAATGGAATACATTATATTGACAGATTTCCTGGTACCACACCACCCTTAGTCCCTGGAACAAGCCCCATTTGGTCATAATGTGTTAATCTGTTATTCTTTTGATACATTTCCTGGTTCTTTTGGCTAGTATTTTGAGTCTTTTCATCTTTATAGTGAGAGGGGGTCTATCTATAATTTTCTCATTTCACAGTCTCTTCAGATTTTAGAATTAAAATTATGCTACCTCCATAAAATGCATAGGAGAACTCTCCACCATTTTCTGTGGCTTGCAAGACTTAAGACGTGGAGTTTCTAGTTCTAGTTTTTAAAAGTTAGATGAAAGTAGGCCTCAAATCCATCCGGTTCCAGAACCTTTTTCAAAGATTCCTTTTAATCGTCACCCGCCACCCCCCTTTCCCACCCCCATGCCCTCTGCTAATTGGAGTATTCAAGTTTCCCGCTGCTTCATAGGTCAATTTTGGTAGCATATTTGGTTTTTCAAAAATCATCCAGTTCTCTTTAGGTTTTT